AAAGCTGAGTTAGAGATTGTTAGAGAGTTTAGTGTACAATAACCTTTTCTGCATTTTAGCTTTTTTTTTTTTTTTTTTTTTTACAGAGATCTTAATTATTATTCTGCTCAAGGAACCCTTAACAACCTTTAGAGGAACCCCAGGGTTCCACAGCAATCTGGTTGAGAAAGATGGAGTTAGAGGTTGCATGAAAAGTTTATTGTTATTGTTAAAAAAACAGTTTTCATATTTAAGTATTCTCTTTTTTATTTCAGGAAATGTATCATGGTTTTAGGAGAAGAAATTACTTACAGATCAAGGGACCCCTCCAATAACCTTTGGAGGAACTCCAGGGCTCCACAAAAAACTGGCCGAGAGAGGCAGAATGAGAGGTAGCATGAAACATTTGTTGTAAAATAGCAGTTTTTGTACTTCAGTGGTTTTTTTTTTAGAAAATTCAGGTCTTAGGTGGCATCAATTGGGTTCCACAAAAAACTGGCAGAAAATGGCAGAATGAGAAATAGCATGAAAGGTTTTATATAAAATAACGGTTTCTGTATTTTAGTATTTTTGCAGAAAATTTACAGAAGTAAAATGTTTGTAATTTTATTTAGTCTCAGGAAATTTTTGGAGATCTTTACTCATTGCTTAAGGCAGTTTCTCAACCTTTTTTTCAGTCAAGGCACCCTTTAAAATTATGAACAGTCCCGAGGCACCCTTTAAAATTATGGACAGTCTTGAGGCACCTCATTCTAAAATGTGAAAAGGTATTCTAATAGTTTTATATAATGCAGCAACATCCACACACTTAGGACACCCAACATTATTATTATTATTTTTATACAGTATTTATAGCGCCAAAGGGTATGCTCAGCGTTGTACAGTAGCAAGGGGGACAGAACATGAGACAAGACAGTAACAGTACAATACACGAGGGGTTTGAGGGCCCTGCTCTTTCAAGCTTACAATCTAGGAGGGAGGGGAAGGTGGTACAGGAGGAAATGGCTGTGGGGGATGGAGTGGTGGGAGGAATGGAGGTTAGTTGTTAGGTGAGGTCAGGTGTTAGGTGAGGTTGGGGTAGGCTTCCCTGAAGAGGAGGGTTTTCAGGGTGCGCCTGAAGGTGAGGAGGGTAGGTGACAGTCTGATGGATTGGGGTAGGGAGTTCCAGAGGATGGGGGAAGTCCTAGAGAAGTCCTGCAATCGGGCGTGGGAGGAGGAGACCAGGGAGCTAGAGAGTAGGAGGTCCTGTGAGGAGCGGAGGGCACGGGTAGGGTAGTATTTTGGTATCAGGTCAGTTACATTAGCATTAGAGGTGATTTATTCTTCCAAAGCAAATACACTTTTGCACACTGGTACTGACTAGTATTCCAATGTTTCTCTTCTCCTCAGTTTTTCTCCATCACTGAGCTAATGTGACTCCAGTACTGATGGAGAGGGGCAGGGGAGGGTCAAACTAGGATGGTGTGCAGGCAGCTGACATCCTCCTTATCAACTGATGATATCATTGGTTGTCAGGATTCCAGTGACTAGAAGGTCCTAATGTTGCACAATGAAAACCTGTGGCTTTGTGTAACTAGAAGGTGGGTTTGTTCCACCTGCTGGTTTGTATACAACTTTTGGGCAATTTTTAGACATTTTGCCAAGGCAACGCCTAAAGAAATCTCAAGGCACCCCAGGATACCTGCACACCCTGGTTGAGAAAGGCTGGCTTAAGGAACCCCTAACATCCTTTGAAGGAACATTGGGGTTCCCTGCAATCTTGGTTTGAGTTAGAGGTTGCATGAAAAGTTAACTTTAACAGTTTGTATATTTTAGAGAGGTTACCCTTTAAGACACAGAAATTACTTATTGCTCAAGGAACCCCGAAAAACTTTGGTGGAGCCACAGGTTTCCATGGAAACCTGACTAAGAAAGTTTGAGTTAGAGGTTGCATAAAGAGCTTGGCATGAAATAAAAGTATCTGTAGTTTACTGTTTATTCTTTATTTCAGGAAATGTATAGAGGCCTTTACTCACTGCTCAAGGAACCCCTAACAACCTTTGGAGAAATCACAGGGCTCCCCAGTAACCTGGCTGAGAAAGGTTGAGTTAGAGCCTGCATGAAAAGTTTAATACAAAATAAGTTTATATATTTTAGTATTTTCTTTTTTTATTTCAGGAATTTTTTTAAGGTCTTAGGAGACAGAAATTACTTACTGCTCAAGGAATCCCCCAATAACCTTTGGAGGAACCCCAGCTCTCCACCAAAAAAACTGCTTGAGAAAGGTGGAGTTAAAGTTTGCACAAAGTGTTTAGTGTAAAATAACAGTTTCTGTACTCCAGTATTTTTTTATTTATTTGAAAAAATTCATAGAGGTCTTAGGAGGCAGCAATTGCTCAAGGAACCCCAACAACCTTTAAAGGAACTCCAGGGCTTCAAGGACACTTGGTGGTGAAAGGCTGAGTTAGAGGCATCATGAAACGTTGAGTGTAAAATAATACCTTCTGTATTTTAGCATTTTCCCAGGAAATTTTCAAAGGTTTTCTTATAATTTAGTAATGTTATTTAATTTCAGGAAATGTATAGGGATCTTTACTCATCACTCAAGAAACCCCTAACAACCTTTGGAGGAACCCCAGGGTTCCCCGGAGACCTGTAGCGATAGAGGTTGCATGAAAAGTTTAGTGTAAAATAACAGTTTCTATATTTTAGTCACTTCTTTAATTTCAGGAAATGTATAAAGAACTTTACACCTTGCTCAAGGACCCCCTAAACAACCTTGGAGGAACTCCAGGGTTCCCCAGAAATCTGATTGAGTCGGAGGTTTCATGAAAAGTTTAGAGCAAATAACAGTTTCTATATTTTATAACCATTTTTTATTTCGATTAATGTATAGAGGGCATTTATACAAAGAACCCCTATGAAAAACTTTGGAGGAACCCCAGATTTCCCCAGAAATCTGGTTGAGTTAGAGGTTCTGCGAGAAGTTTAAAGTAAAGACAGTTTCTCAATTTCAGGAAATTTATAGAGGTCTTTATTTATTACTCAGGAAACCCTTAAAAAACTTTGGAGGAACCCCATATTTCCCCAGAAATCTGGTTGAGTTAGAGGTTCTGCGAGAAATTTAAAGTAAAGACAGTTTCTCAATTTCAGGAAATTTATAGAGGTCTTTACTTATTACTCAGGAAACCATTAAAAAACCTTTGGAGGAGCCTTAGGGTTCCCCAGAAATCTGGTTGAGTTAGAGGTTCCACAAGAAGTTTAAAGTAAAAGAACAGTTTCTCTGTTTTATAATCTTTTTTAATTGCAGGAAACTTATAGAGGTCTTTACTTATTACTCAGGAAACCCTTAAAAAGTTTTTGGAGGAACCTCAGGGTTCCCCAGAAATCTGGTTGAGTTAGGGGTTGTGTGAGAAGTTTGAAGTAAAGAACAGATTCTATGTTTTAGAATCATTATTTTTAATTTCAGGAAATTTATAGGTCTTTACTTATTACTCAGGAAACCCTTAAACTTTGGAGGAACCCCAGGGCTCCCCAGAAATCTGGTTGAGTTAGAGGTTGTGTGAGAAGTTTGAAGTAAAGAACAGATTCTGTTTTAGAATAATTTTTTTTAATTTCAGGAGATTTATAGAGGTCTTTATTACTCAGGAAACCCTTAACTTTGGAGGAACCCCAGAAATCTGGTTGAGTTAGACGTTTGAATTACAGAACAATTTCTCTGTTTTATAATCATTTTTTTAATTTCAGGAAATTTATAGAGGTCTTTACTCATTGCTCAAAAACCTTTGGAGGAACCCCAGGGTTCCCCAGAAATCTGGTTGAGTTAAAAGTTCGAAGTAAAGAACAGGTTCTCTGTTTTAGAATAATTTTTTAAATTTCAGGAAATTTATAAAGGTCTTTACTCATTGCTCAAAACCCTTTGGAGGAACCCCAGAAATTGGACTGAGGTTTACGTGAGAAGTTTAGTGTAAAATAATGGTTTGGGTATTTGAATATTTTCTTTTTTATTTGAGGAAATTCTTAGAGGTCTTAATCGCACGAAAAAAAAAAAAGAAAAAAAAAGGAAGCTCAGCTGAGCAACGAAGAAACCTGCTTCCAAAATCGTCGAGGGGGGGGGGGGGGGCTATGCTTTGCAGCAAGAAGCCTTCTGAAACGAATGGCCTGCGCACATCACCCTCCATGTGTCCCATGATCACACTGGCTTTGTTGCAGGCGGTAGCGGAGCCCTGCAGCAGGCCTCTCTGGCAGTGCAGGGGTTAGGGATGATGCAGGCAGAGAACATGTGCTCGGCTCTTTTTCTCCTTTCTTCTTCCTTCCCCTTGCTCTCCTCTCTGCCAAGCTGTCAGCTGATGGGACTGATCACCCAAGCGTGGCGCATGCAGCCAGATCACCTCCCAGCCTCCCCATTCAGCTTCTGTTCTCTCCCCCCACCCCCCCGCCCTTGGATCGCTCACCCCTAGGCACCTACTCTGCGCCCCCAAAATACCCCAGGGACCCCCCCAGCCCAGCATGCGCCCCCCAGATCAGAGCCAGACAGCCCTTTCCCCACCGCAGCAGGCCATGCAACGCCTTGCAAATAGTCCTTTGTTTACATGCAATGCCTTACTCTGCGGAAGAAGGGCTGGGATTTGGCTCTGGGTGGAAGGAGGGAGGGGGTGTGTGTGTGTGGTGGTGGGGGGGGGGGGGGAGTGGGGGGTGCAGGGGGGAGGGGTGCTGTTTCTGATCTCTCACCAGCTGTTTCCCGCCTTGAAACAGACATCAGCTGCAAACACACACTCACATTGAGAGGCAGAACACAAGGAGAGAGACAGACACCTCCCCCTGATCATCTGGGACATCCTACACACACTACACCATTGATCTCCCTGCATGCACCATCACCTGATCAATAAGGCTGATCAGAACAGGGGGTAGCCCCAAAAAAAAGGGGGGGCAGCTACTGGAAGGGGGGGAGGGAGGGGGTGCAAGGGTTTATTTTTTTGGGGGGGGGGTGGTGGGGGGGTGTTGGAAGGTTGGTCCTCCTGCTGCTTGCTATGGAGTATTTCATGATGCCCGCGCAGAAAGTGCCCTCCCTGCAACACTTCAGGAAGACGGAGAAGGAGGTGATCGGGGGGCTGTGCAGGTAGGTACCCCGACCACTCACTCTGCTGCTTTCTGTTTTGCTGGCGCACATGGCCCCCGACCGTGCACGCTGCAGATCTCCTTAGATCACCTTGCAGACATGGGGAGGGAGGCGGGGAGCCCCGATCAGCTGTGTGCTGCCAACACAAAACAGGGGGGGGACGGGGGACTCCCTCTGCACCCCCAAACAGGCAGCCCGATGGGGGCGGGGGGTCCCCAGGATTGGGAATGGCCGGCGATCATCGGGGTTTGTTTTTTAAAGGGCGCAAAGGAAGGTTTGTCAGTTGCAAACAGACCCACGTGGTGCCCCGGCCATGCTGCAGAGCGGAGAGAGCGCTGCCTGCCTGGGAGCACCACTGCGGCTCCGCCACTGCTGCTGGGGGGCGACATAAGGGGGGGGGGGGGGATTTAAATCTAATAGTGGCAGACATCACACCCCCCCTTCTGAGCAATCAGCTGATTACACACCAGACAAGCAACACCTGGGGGGAGGTTGGGATTGCAAACTCAGTAGGGGGTGTGATAAGGCGACCTGTGGGACTACAAGTCCCAGAGTGCCCTACGTGGTCAGATCGCACGCTGGCGCTTTTTTTTTTTTTAACTTTCTCCCCTAATTTTATCTAAATGGATATAAAAAATTGAAATGTCACTCGCCGCCGTAGTTCGGTCGCGATTGGCCGCTAACCGACGAAATTAGGAACTGCCGTGACATCGGCCGATGTATGGTTGCGGCAAAGAGGGTAGTTCGGTTTGTCAGGAGAAAAAGGGGACTAATCGCTTGGTAAGATTGCTCGCCGCCGGTCTTTGCGGACAGTTGGCTGCTAATTATTATTATACAGGATTTATATAGCGCCAACAGTTTGCGCAGCGCTTTACAAAATGAAGGTAGACATGACAGGTACAATACAAATTGGTGCAAGAGGAAACAGGGCCCTGCTCGTGAGAGCTTACAATCTAGGAGATTGACAAATAATTGGCCAGTGTATAGATGCGGGGATCAGGGAGAAAAGGATATGTCACTCGCCAGTAGCGATTAGTCGCTAATCGGCAAAATTAGAAGCGCCATGATTTTTCACCGACGTATGATTGCGCCAAAGAGGTTATTCCTTTTTCCGGGGAAAAGAAAATGATCGCTTGGCGCTGGTTTTCAGGAGCCACGAATTGACAGCATTTGAACCGCCATAACTTTTCTCCTTCCATTGGCCGACGGAATGATATAGCAAAGCGACAGGGAGAATAGGGAACAATCGCTCACCGCCATACTTTGGTAGCGATTGGCCACTAATCGTCAAAATTAGAAGCGCCGGGATTTTTCACCGACGTGTGATTGCGCCAAAGAGGTTATTCATTTTTCCGGGGAAAAGAAAATGATCGCTTGGCGCTGGTTTTCAGGAGCCATGAATTGACATTTGAACCGCCATAACTTTTCTCCTTCGATTGGCCAAGGTAGAGGTAGGGAGAATAGAGAACAATCGTTTGCTGCTGGTATTTGGGAACAGTTGGCCGCCATGCAACACAATTAGAACAGCCATGAAATCAGCCAACGTATGGTTGCGCCGAAGAGGTGAAAATGGAATGATTGCTTAGTGCGGTTCTTTAGAAACAATTGGCCAGTGATTCTAAAAGTTGAACCGCCGAAACTTCACCTGGGGTCGGCCAACGTAATGATGCAGCGAAGAGGCAGGGAGAATAGGGAACACTTGCTTGCCGCTGTTCTTTGGGAGCGATTGGCCACTAATGGTCAAAATTTGAACCAGGATGACTTTCCCTTCTAATTGGCCAATGTAGAATGGCCATGATATCTGCCGAGGTATGGTTGTGCCAAAGAGGCCAAAAGGGAATTATCACTCGATGTCATTCTTTAGGAATGATTGACCTGTAATTGACAAAATTTGAGCCTCCATAACTTTTCTCCTTGGGTCGGCCAACGTAATGATGTGGAGTAGAGGCAGGGAGAATAGAGACGATCTCTTCTTTGGAGTGATTTGCCACTAATGGACAAAATTCGAACTTTCCCCTCTAATTGGCCAATGTAGAATGGCCATGGCATCAGCCAACGTATGCTTGCGTCAAAGAGGTGAAAAGGGGATCAGTCACTTGGTGCCATTCTTTAGGAACAATTGACCACAATTTGCCAAAATTTTTCACCTTGGTTGGGCCAACGTACTGATGCGGCGAATAGGCAAGGAAAATGGCAAACAACTGTTCGCCGCTGTTCTTCGGAAGCTATTGGCCGCTAAGCAACCAGTTTTACACCATCGTAACGTTTCCGCAATGGAGGCGGCAAACAGGATATTTTTATTTTTCTTTGCTTAGAGAAAAAAGAATGACCACCAAGTCACCAAAGTCTCGGCCTCAGTGATCACTGGAGAGACAGTTGTGTGAACCCCATTTGCTACCAGCGATGAGCAAAAATCAGTAAATATCGTTGGTAATATTGGGTCATGTATGGAAATGAGAAAAAATTTCCATCCTGATCATTCAAATATTTCTGTCCGTAATACTGGAATTCATCATTGATTTGGCTTCAATAACGGTTCAAAATTGTCCAAAGGTGACCATTTTTAATTCAAATCTAACCTGCGTGTTCAGATGACGCAGGCTCGCTCTGTGTTTGCGTGGAATGGTTGCCATGAGCAACAACCCGGTGAAATACGAGATGGGGTTTTCTAGGGGTAACCGTTTCTTGTTTGCTGTAGTAATAAACATGTTCCAAGGTCATGTTGTTTTGCTGCATGCTGTGCTTTTCAGTAGTGTGTACTGTATACTAATACCACCATGTGGCTCTATTAATGGGTGGGAGGAGGAGGGATGGAGGCTTTTGTATTCTCACAAGGTCAGTAGCAATGCGTACCTGGATGCTGGGGCCCCTGCTGCTCTTAGCTGGGGCCCTAACTACACCCAAGTCATTAGGATACCTGGCTATTGGAGATGAATACTCTGATGCCGTCCATGTGGCAGGCAGGGAATTGTGGAATTGCTGTATTGAAGGTCAATCTGAATCCACGCTCGCTGCTGTGGCCCTTGCCCGATTATTATGGGAATACCTGTGTATTGGACTGTCTTTATGTCATTGCCAACATTTGTACAATCATTTCCAGGGGCCCTTTTGCTGATAAAATGGATGCGATCCAGATGATGATGATCTCATACCTGTAGTATCCTACCTTTACCTGTATGACTTGATTTGCTTTGTAACTTTTGTTTGTTTATTTATTTTGTTTTTGTTTTAATATTCCTGATCCAGTGCTGTACTCTGTGAATTATCTGTAATTATTTAGAAAAAGCGAGATACTTAAATCTGAACTCTAGACAGATATGACACCAATTAATGCAGATCTGTAATCATTAATACATCACTTTTTTTCTCAATGTAAGCACCTGAATTTGACATACTTGCCTCTCGCAGTCTCAGTACAGCAGGGGTGGAGTGCGAGAGAAAAAAGCAGCACAAAGAGCCAATCAGTACATTTGCTGATAAGAAGCATGTTGATAGGGAGAGAGCATAGTGACAGATATGAGCTTATCACTGCTCTACTTCTTTCACTTTGTAATCACAGGCTGGTCCAGGATGACCAGGGATCAGGGGAAGTGGGCTGAATGATTCTAACTGACCGAGGATATCTAGCAGCAGGAAAAAGTACTGCAATGGAAATCTGGGGCCGGGGGTCTTCTTTAAAGTAGAATAAAAACTAAAAAGGGCTGCCTGGAAAGAGAAGACTTTATTACTTACCTGTCTTGCTGTTTGCACCACTGATCTTTGCTACCTTGAGTTTGCCAAATAGTGTTCAGTTTCTGGCAGGGCTAGATGTCTGCCCCCCCTTGCGCTTTGTGGTTCGATCGCCCACCCCTACAGGGCACAGTAGCGACAGGGGCCAGCAGAAGGAACCATGAAGCTGCAAAGGGGGGGGGGGGGACCAGTCATCTGACTCTCCTGGAAATGTCGGATGCTGAAGATTCTTCATCCTTGGCTCTGCAGAGATTGGCAGCAGCACGGCCAGGAATTGGGTCTTTTTGTTTTAGTTACTTTCGTGATTTTTTTTTTTTTTAAATCTAGTGAAATTGAAACATTGTAATGAATACATAATGTTGCAGGTTTTATAGCATCAAAACATTTTTGGTCATATTTTATACGAATATTAAACTATATGTATTACCAGCTGGGAAAAAATGGCAGTACTTCAGACTTTTCCATCCTAGGGATTGGTTTGCCTTTGTTTCAAGGGTATCAATTTGACGTGTGGTTGTTAGGCCTCGTTCACATGGGGTGTTTGTACCCCGTGTCAGGGCCATGTTTACCCGCTCGGGGATGCACAAGTCTTCCATGCAGGTGCGTGGCTCTGAGCGCAGGTAGCTGTGCATCCGCACCAATGTCACATTGGGAGCACCGGCTGTGGCCCTGCATCCCAATTGACTTGAATGGGATTACCTGAATAGAAAACACCTGTGCAGGTAAACGCAGCCCTCACATGGGACACAGACACCCCTTGTGAACGAGGCCTTATTCTAGTGTTTACCAAGGCATGACTGTTCTTGCTGCATGTGAGTAGGCTGCCATTGGTTTGTTTCATACCCCTCACCCTAAATCTGCATGGGCTGCTTAAATGAAGACCCATCAGACCTGTGCCATGTGGCCCCAAAGGTTACATTTTTACGTTTCGCAAGCGTTGCGTCGCTTCCAGCGGACTCAAATGCTGCATGCAGAGTGTGGCCTCCACCAGTCTCACTGTGTGCCACCATAGTGTGCAGCCCGAGTACTGATGCTGGAAGCTGGCCCTGCACTCCATCCACCCCCTCCCTCATAGTAAGTGGCGAGATGGTGAAAGACTAGCTGCACCAGCTTTATTATCCTCAGGGCAGTCTTGTCAGAATTTAGGGCGGTGTTTCTATTGATATCGCAGGGCTCCCCACTCGTGACCTTGCACTCTGTGGGCTGAGGGGGAGAACAGCGCAGACAGGCCTGGCCGTGACTCTGCAGCCCGCCTGGAGTAAGAGTGCCGT